TGAAGTACTGTATGGTGACCGACATAACATAAAACAAATTTAATTAAAAAAATAAAATGAAATGAAACTAGCAATGGACCTGTGGGCCATCTCTTGATCTCTGGGTCCCCGGGTTTTCCATCTGTAAAAATCCCACAGGACTCCAAGCCCCACAAGGGCAGAAACTCTCCCTAGAGCTCACCACTGCATGCCAGGCTTCTAGCGTAATTCTTGACACACCATAGTTGAGTGAGTGAATGGACAGGGGTGCACCCTCTCTACCAAACTGCCCAGCTCTGAGAATGCAGAGGTCCATGATCCAAACAGAGGCTAGAGAAAGTGACACAAGACAAGACAGAGAGCCAGGGATGGCTGACCAGGGCCAGCTTCCTTAGATGTTCCTGGGGAGGGGGTCATGCTGGAGTTTAGGCAAAGTTGGATGAGCTGATTCAGAGATCCCAGTTGTAATTTCACTGAAGCACTGTTGAGAATTGTGAGAGGACATTCCTTTTCATTTATCTCTGCCACCTGGTCCTTGACTTCATGCTTTGGTTCAAAACCACCTTTAATCCTGACTGAAGAATTTGGAAAAATCCCAGCGAAAAAATGAACCACTGTGCCCCCCCACCACTCTGCTATCACTTCCAGCTCCCTATGGAGCTTATTCCCATGTCCCTCCTAAGGTCTCTTGCAGATAATCCCAGAAACATTTACAGCACTTGCCTGGGTATATTTCTTTTCTTTCTTCAGCTAATATACAATTTTGCTATTTACAAAAGCTACAAATGGAATGCAAATGTGCCCGTTTATTTTCCCATATTGTTATTGCTGGATTCTGATTTTGAAGGGGGAAATGTTGCATTTGTGAGAACATTCAAATTTAGTGTAAATTTCAAAAGGGAAGTCTGGTTCTCTCAGTTATGGGAGGTACAGAAATACAGTAGCCTATTAGTCTATTCCAACTAAGATATTCTACGTCTTTACACACACCCCCACAGCTCCCCCCCACACTAAACAATTCATAGCTCCTCCTTCGGAGATGATGATAAAGAAGACTGTTACCACTCTAGTTTTTTCTTAAACATTCTAAACTGCTTTCCAAGCCAGTTCAAGGGTAGTTCGGTACTGGGTCAGAATTTTGGATAAGAAAAATTATTATTTATTATTGAGGTTTTTTTTAAGATTGGATTAAAAAGACTGCTTTCTTCTGTGTGGAGAGATGAAAATTGAGATTTATGATTACGATCTGATCAATGATGGAGGGTGTGCAGTGAGTGAAGATAAATTTGTTCCCTGAATCCTGACATACCAGAATGAAGGGGATTCAGTAAAAAATCAAAGCTGGTGCCTATTTACAAATCCATTTAGAACTGCCCAATGTGCTGGAGAGGACCTTGGCATTTCCACAATCCCAGAAGTCACCGAGGCCCAGGGGAGGCCGGCTGCATTGAAATTCCCTTCCTGCCAACGGAGCTTATCTTGGGCAATCGAGCCCCTTCTGAGCCACAGTTTCCTCCATTGTAAAATGAAGATGATGGTAGCTGTGTGAAAGGATTGCCAAGAGAAGACTTTATTACCCGCAAGACGTAGTTCAGGTGAAAATTCTCCATATCTTGAGTGAAAGGCACAGAGAGGTTAGTTGATGTGTAAATGATACATACGGTTTTTGGGTTTTCAGGACTTTCAACTCTGGGTGGGGGTCCCCAGTCTTGAGGTCAGCGCCTAGAAGGAGAAGCATGCTCTTAGTCAGAGTCGGAGACAAGGAAGGGCTCTGTGATTGCTGCATGTGATTCCAAGGGACCCCTTCTGGGCTCTGCAGAGCTCCCTGCTCCTCTATCCCTCATTCATATGAACTTCCCAGAACCCTATCAGTTGCCTGAATAGCTAATCTACTCCATTAATTTGAGTTAAAATGTTAGTGGGTGGTAATGACTTTTCATTTGCTGCCACTCCCATATAACTCTTGTGTTTTAACCCAAATATTCAATAACTTAACCTAAAGAAGTGATTACTGTGAGTTCTCCTAGTTTCTTAGAAAGACCAATGTAGGAGAAGGGCAGCTGAGCCAAGTGTGTGCCCGTGTGGCAGTTTACACCGCATGAGCAGACATGACACTTGCTGCCAATCCACTCATCTTCCCTCCTTCCAGACCCCAGGAACAAACTCAGTTTTCAGAGACAGCCTCGAGGCAGTGAGCGTGTACAGACCACCATAAAAGGAGTTGGCCCACGTGGATTCAGATGCAAGTGCTGCTTCCAGACAGACATAGTTGACCACTATGACCAGGGTCCCCACCACTCTCCAAGTAAAACCCCGTCTCAGCGACTGGCAGTGCAAGGATAGGCTCAACATTACAAAGCTAGCTCTTTCCCAGCAGGTGTACTTGATGGATGTGGCTCTGTGGCTCTCGTTACAAGGATTTCTCTAGAAGGGATGGAAGTGTTCAACAGTTTCCACGTTTCCTGTCCACTCATGATGACTCTTCTCAAGTGAGTCCAAAGAAGGGAGGCCCCGAGCCTGGGATGACAACTGGGTCACCTAATAGGAGATGGGTACACTCCGTCGTAACAGTTGTGATTTGGATGAATTTAGGATCACAGCAATCTCTCCATGATGTTCAGCATAGTGAGAGTGTAGTTGGTAGAGAAGCAAAGAGCAGAGAGGAGGGAGGCCAGCCAGTTTCTACTTGCTCTCCTGTGTGGTCTTATTAATCAATTATAAGCTATGCAGGAGATCATAGCCATATCGTATCTTGCTCACATCCCACACCGTAATTACAGCTGTCTTCCTCCTAAACCATGAGCCACTAGAGGGCAGGAAATGCCTCTCTCTCTTTCTCTCCCTCTCCCTCTCTCCCTCTCTTCTCTTTGTAGCTCTAGCCCCAAGCACAGAGTGTCTAGCACAGGGTAAGTGCTCAATAAACATTGCTGAGTAATAGAGTCAACAAATGAGTGATTGAAATACGAAGCAGCATAACAGGTGCACCCTGTTTTTACCTCTCCCTGTTCAGATACCACAACCATTCATCTCAGAAAAACAAGACAAAACAACAACAAATACAATTCTACAACTCCTTAACCACCCATCAAGCAAGACAAGGGAAAGACCAAGGCACTCAGAAAAACTGGAGACAGGATGGTTAAGCCATGTGGCCAGCCACACTGATGGTAAACCCTCTTTTGATGACTGTTACCACCTCTAATGGACCGGGAGACTGACATCCAACATTGTACTCAACATCACAAAATCTCACTCCAAGAAAAATAGGTGGTATTCCAGAGGAGCTCACTGTAGGAGTGGAGGTACACAGATTTTGCAAGGGGCTAGGAAAGAAATGAAGTGAGGTCATGGGGATCGGTGTACCCCTCCTCAGGGGAAAAGACATCTGTTCCCCACACCCAGAGCTTTCCCCTTTTTTCTGGGCTGCTTCCCTCTTCTGCTCTCCAGGCAGGGTGATGGGAACTACTCTTGCAGGGGAGAACTTATCTTGGCTTCCAGGGTCAACAAGAGCTGTCCAGCAGCCCCCTAACTTGGAAGACTTCCTCCTGTCCCTCCTTCCTATACACAAAGAGGCAGAAGGACTCTGGGCACAGGCAGCCCTCTTACCCCCGCCAAGGTGCCTCTGAAGGGACTAGCCACTGACATCCCCTCCCCAAACCCCTGTGAGAACTGGTTCTGTGTGGGTGGTCCTGGGGGAAACAGCCAATCTGCAGGGCTCCCCTTCATTCCTGAGTCCTTTCCAGGCAATTAGGATATTCCATATAGCTTCTTGAACAGGACCCTTTTCCCCAAACTCACACCTCAAGGACGCTTTCATAAACCAGATGATCACTTCTGGGAAGTTACATTTCCTGATTTGAGGATTGTTACAATTAGTGCAAGAAAAAAAAATAGGTAATTATCTAATTCCAGTAAAACTTAATGGGGCCCTTCCCAGGCTAATGGTTGGTGCAAAATGTAATTTGAGTTAAATTGTCTAAGGCTGGGGAAGGGAAAGATATTAGGCTTGGGGGGCATTACCCCTTGTGGGAGCCATATTTTCTAGCAGGTCTTTAGATCAAGATAGGACCCCTCGGGGCGGGGGGGGGCGCTACTGATTTTGCAAGGAGAGGGCAAGAGCTGGGGAGGTAAGCCCACCCCAGAGTAAGAAGGGCCAGGGCCGAGGCAGGGCAGGGCGGATGCTAAGTCTGCCATTGTGGGTACAGCAGCCACTCCAGAGCTCTAGCCAAGACTGCGTGACCTCAGGCAACTCCGGGAGCCTCTCCGGATCCAGTCTCGGTTCTGTCAATGGTGATCAAGATGACCGCCCGGAGGGGGTGGTTTTTAGGGGGCTGAGCACCTCGCCCACAGATTGCAATCAGCATCTCCGCTGAAGTTGGCCTGTCTTGGATACCTCTTCTCTCCTCCCCTTCCCCCACCACCCCTCCTAATTCGTCAACTGCCGAAACATCTGCCTGGTTGAAACCGCCTCCTCGCCGAGCGCTGGGGGCTGTCCCCAGGTGTAGGTCTTTGTGTCGCCAAAACTTTGCGAGAAAGCGAGGGCGCTGGACAAAGAGCGAGCGCGGGAGGGCGTTTGCCAGCCGGCTGGGGACGCCGGGCGGTGCGCACTCTTCCCTGGGTTCAGCTCGCTACCCGGACGCCCGCGGTGCCCCGAGCTCAGCCTCCCTAGGCGGGGAGTGGCGGGTTCTGGCCACAACCCAGCGCCCTCGGGAGCTGAAAGAAGCCAGGCGGGAGGAGCAAAGGCGGATGGCTGGACCTAGGAGTTGACTAGGGTGGGAGGAGGCGAGCAGAGGCGCGGAGCAAAGCTGTCAAACTGCACTCGGAGCCCCGCGCGGGGCGGAGGAGGGAGGGGAGGGGAAGGGGAGGGGAGGAGGAGGGAGGGGAGAGGAGGGGAGGGCGGGAGCGGAGAGGGAGCGAGCGGGCTCGCCGCGCCTGAGCAACCCCTGTCTGCCGCTGTCGCCGCCGCCGCCGCAGCCGCCGCTGGCCCGCACTCGCCCGGAGCGCAGGGTGTCTGCCCGGCTGCGCGCCGCGCGCGGAGGCTCCGGCGCCTGCCGCTGCGCCCTCCAGCCCCCGCTCCTCGCGCCGGCCCGCGCGGGTCCCGGCGGGCGCGAACCCACCATGCAGCTGCAGTTCCGGAGCTGGATGCTGGCTGCGCTCACGCTGCTCGTGGTCTTCCTCATCTTCGCAGACATCTCGGAGATCGAAGAAGAAATCGGGTAAATAGCTGCGCCCAGGCCCGTGCAGAGCCCTGGCGGGATCTCCCACCCCGGTACTCCGCCCCCCACACCCGCTTTGTGTGCGCCGCGCCCCCCTATCGCTCAGCTGGGGAAGTGGGGGAAGGTTTTGGCCCGGGGAGGCGGTGCCGGGGGACCGGGACGGTTTGGGGTGCGGAGCATGGGGGCCCGGCTGCCGTGGGGTGTCCCCAAGCGGGGAGCACGGGCAGCCTCCAGCTGGCCCGCGTCGGGGAGCAGACTCGCCTACCCTACCCCCCTTCCCTAGCGTGTCCGCGAGCGATGTCGCCGGGGTCGAGGGAGGGCGCCGGGGAGTGTCTGGGGTGGGCGGAGGGGCAGAGAGTGGAGGAGGCAGGAGTTTCTTTGTCTCCAGCTCGGCCGCTTTCTCGCCTTGGCAAAGTGGGCAGGGGGCGCGCGGGGATCTCTGCGCTGGGGGAGGGGATCCCCGGGTTGGAGCGGAGGGCGGGGCTCTGCACTGGCTCGCGGTAAGGGGAGTGTCCCCAGTACCTACGGACTGGCACACGATCCTCCCGCCGGCCCGGGAGCCCGGCGTAAGGACGCCGGCGGGTACCGCTAGAGGCGGAGCGCGCAGGGCTGGGCTGAGACTCTCTCCCTCGCCTGGCTTTGGACTCTCAGCTAACCCCACGGCGCCCCCTGCGCCCCCGGGTTCGCGTGCGCTCTTAGTGCGGAGACGGAGACCTTTCGGGAAAGTCTGTATCGCCGCCGGGTGGTCTTTGGGGGGCCCCCAGGCGCGCGGTCTCGCCCGGCTTCTCTCCGGATCTCTCCAGAGGTGGGGCGGGACCGCGAGACCCTGCCCTGGCGCGGGACTTCCAGGAGTGCGCACTTGCGGCGCGGGACGCCTCCGCAGTCGGCCCTGGAGGCTGGGACTCGCGCCCAGCCCGGCAGCCTCCAGCAACCTCGGCCGGGTCTCTCTGCTTCGGCGCCACAAAGAGCGTCCAATCCGCGGCGGGCAGGTGCGGTGGCACCTAGGGTTCTGAGGGGCCCTGAGGAGAGCTTCCCGGCCCAGGGCAGGGAAAAGGGGAGGTCGCCGAGTGGGCAGAAGGTCCCCTCTTCCTTGGGGCTAGAGCCAAGCCTGGCGCCCTACTTGAGTCCCGCGCCGCGTGCGCCCCCTCCTTTGTCCCATTTGTTTCATTCATTATCAGCTCGAGTTGGAGGGCCCGCTACGCTGACAGGTCCCTCAAAGGGAAATGCCTGGATCCCAAGGCCCTAAGGACCCAGACCTGGGGCAGGCGCCAACTTCCTGCTTTCTCCTTTTCTCCCTGCCCCTTCCCATCTCAGAAACCCAGGAATTCCTTCTGTGAACTCCACCACACTTCAAGAACCCCTCCCTGTCTGCCTCCTCCTCTTCCTCATCCTCGGTTTCCCCAAAGCTCCGAAAACTTTCACAAATGCGGTTCACTTAATACGCGACGTGCTCCCACGCGGAAATAGAGAAATCCGTTACTTTCCATAGCTGTTCGCCTCAAAAACCGGGGTCGTCGGAGAGGAAATCGGGAAAGCCAAGTCTTGGGTGATGGATGACCCGGTGGGGAAGGCCTTCCTCTAGGTTCTCCCTCTCTTCTCCCGGCTGTGGGCTCTGCTTGGCCCAGACTACTTGCTGACCTTGACAGGTGAGAGGGAAGGACCAGCAGCTGCCCATTGTTCTGCTATAGAAACCTAAGAAGTGTGGAGCTCATTCAGGGATCCCTGGCTTACCCATTCACTGAACTTTTACTGAATAGCTTCTACATGCCAGGGACTTTTAATTTTTAAAATGCAATCAGGAAATCATTTTGCACACAATGCTGCGCTTTCTTGCCAAATGCTTTACAGAGTCGTCCCCCCCCACACACACACACACACACACACTCCACATCAGGTTATTCCAACAGGGTATCCAGGAATAAGCTCCTAGGCCAGAGCTAAGAAGGGCATTTACCTATATATTTAAAACCCAGAGTTGCTCTGCTATGTGTGTGCCCTGGGACTTGTTTCATTGGGGAGCGGAGTGTCTATTTGGGCTGACCCCGGGATAAATTGTCAGATGGGTCAAATGTGTAAACTTCTGTGGCATTATCCCTCCTTCTTGGTGTCCCTGTGCTCAGGCTGACCCCTGGCTCGACCAGTTTTGACCCAGGCTTGAGACATCTCCCCCAGTCCCACCCCCAGTCTGTCTCACACATGTTTAAGTGGGGTGGAGGCATATCTGGGAGTTGCCAGAGCTAAAGGAGGAAGGACATCGGGCAGAGGACCAGAATCCCAACAGAGCTGATGTCTGCTTAGAAGCCAGGTTCCAAGCTCAGTCACTTCAATCCTTGGAACCACCCCAACTTTGAGTGGCCAGCCAGGGCTCAGTGGGTTAAGGGCCCTGGCACAGTGGCCAGTGAGGGGTGCCAGGAGTGGGGCTCTGTCTTCCTCATCTTCTTCCTTCCTGGGAGACCTGGATGCATATTCAAGACCACGGTGCCTCTGAACCAGCCGTGCCCACCCTTCCCCAACGTAATCTCGACCTGCACCAGGGACGATTGCAAATTACCTGCCAGTGTTGGTCCCTGGAAGAAAACACTGGTTCTATAAACAGATGGCTGTTTCTGGGAGGGGGACCCTATGGTGTTGTTAGGAAGGGAGGAAGGAAGACGTCTTTTTCTGGAGTAAGTATTCAAGGATTAAGGAATGAGAAGTGAACGAGGAAAGAGAATTGCACACGCGTTGTCTGGTGGAACAAAAGTGAGATACACTTGGCTTAAGCTCTTGATCCCCTTTCTTCTAAAATGAAGCTTTTGGTATGGTAGTCTCAGAGGTCCTGTCCTGCCCAAGGGATCATACAATGGGCTGCGAGGGGCAGGTTTTTCTTCCCGAAGCTTTTTCTGAGAGACTCGTTTCTTTTCCTCAGTGATGATTTTCAACTTCTAACTTGCTTGCTTGTGGAAACGCCTCCCTGGGGCTGAAAGGGAAAAGGAAATGTAGAAAGATGAGTTCTCTGCAAAGCACTCAAAGAGCGAATTCAAATTCTACGTCAGACATTGGGTGGCGCTTTGATAAAACAGCCCCCATCGATTCATGCAGTGCCCCAATTTTTAGACCAAGTTGTAAGCTAAAATGTTTTTTCTGATTGTCCCCTGAGCTTTAGTCTTGAGGGTAACTTACAAGAGAGAGGTGTGAGGCCTGACTCTCTTGTCCACCGAGGTGTCCCCAGAACCCGGCGCACAGAGGCATTCAACAAACTTCTATTGCACTGGCCCAGTGATGGTCACGTATGGTATCTTTGGGCAAAGCAGACACCCACACAGCCTTAGGATGGGAAGGAAGTGTGAGGTTCCTCCTAGGAAACCTCCTCTTTTTTTACAGTTAGTATAAATTTGACCCTGCGAAGCAGTATCGCCTATCCAGTATCACAGCCTGACCTGGTAAAGAGAGCACAAGCCTGCACAGGTCTCCTTATTTGCAACCCAATGCCCTCATCCCCAAATGAGCTCTTTGAACATAATCTCTGGTTTAAAAGAAGATAACTAGTAATAATAATGGTAATGGTGAAGATGCAGGTGATGATGGTCATTAGCATTTATTGATTTATTGAGTGCTGGCTATGAGCCAGGAGCCATTCCAAGCACTTCATTGATATTAACACATCTTTTCGTCATGGCAACCCAATAGTCACCTCCCAGGGGCAACAAGAGCTCCTATCGGTCGAGCTCTGTGTGCCAGACACTGGGCTAATGGCTTTAAAGTACTACTCCGCTCAATCTTCTTGAACCTCTTTAAGCTAGGTACTGTGGCTATCTCCGAGTTGTCAGTGAGGAAACTGAGGCTCAGAGAGATTCGGTGATCAAGCAAGGTACCCTAGTTCTGTGAGAAGCCAAAGACCGCCTTGCTAGACTGCCCTGTCTTCTGGGTTCTTTCGCCCTGCAGTAATACCACGGAATGGGTCTCAGAACTTAACTCATTTCCCAGGGATGTTGCCCAGGCCCAGAATTTTCCTAAGAGCGTGGTCTGGCCTCAGCAGCTTGCAAAGAGGGAAGGAGAGTGGAGACTGGGGGAAGGACGGAGGGCTCGTGTGTCCCCGAAATGCCCCTTTGGTCCCGTCAAGTTCAGTGTGATGCTAGAGGACAGAATGGCACTATTTGGCCCCTGGCTTGCCAGACAAGCTCACGTGCCACAGGCAGGAGCATCCTAGACTCACAGGTAGGGCCTGGGGCTGAAGCTTCCCAAGAGAAGACTCCTATCCATTTGCAAATCTGATTTCAAATGTCAATTGAAAGAGAATTCTGGCATCTACACACCATATGATTGGGCACCTGGGGGCCTGGAGCAGGTGTGATTGTAAAGATATTTCACAACGAGTCCCTGTGAACACTGGCCTATTGGCATGGACGTCTGACTGGTCAGGATGGATGCCATCCAGGCACCCTGGCCAGGGGTCCCTGTGCACCCCAGGCAGACATCAGATCACGACTGGGGAGAGTTAGGACGGGGGTCAGGGCTAGCTCTGGTCCTTGGCTGTGACCAGGTCTGTGAGCAGGCAGCCGCTGTGGCCATCAGCCAGGAGTGAGGTGAGGTGCACCTTTTGGTGGTGGGTGAGCGCAGGCTGATGTGAAAGAAAATGAGCTCCTCTTTGAGCACTTGAAGTGCAGGCACCTTGTAAGGAGAATACATATTTGCTTAAGACGATGCAATCTTTTTTTTTTTTGGAAAAAGCTCATTCTTCCTCCCAATCCTGGTGTACTTCCCTCTCTCCCTCTCGTATAAACATGACTGGAGGATAAAATAGGAGAGAGAAAGCTTTGGTTTTTAACTCACTTGCTCCAAGTCCTGTTGCCAACTGTTCCTAGCATCAAATTTAAATTGTAAATAGATATCCATCTTAGAAACCGATTCACCACTCAAGGCCTCTTTCCCCTTATAAAGCAGGGTTGCTAGGTTTTGAAATTGTTTAGGTTTTACAAATTGGGGATGTTGTAAATTGCAAATTATAAATACTTCTCAGA